GCTTCCCAGCGGAGCCTCCTCCCGCAGCCAGGACATCGGGAGGCAGCAGCAGCGTGGCGGAGCTGAGCTCTGGGATAAATTCATGGGCTTCCCCATGAGGAGGGCTGAGCCCTCACCCTGCATCAGAAACAGGGAAGGAAAAGGGCCGAGAGCAGCCACGGGGCCCAGATCCCCAGGGCGGGCACTCTCCGGGCTCCTCAAGGTATGTGCGTTCCCAAACTGTCAGTGCATCAAATCATCTCAGTAACAAATGCAGCGTCAATGTGACTTTGCTTTCAACAGTTACCACCAAATTATCCTCACACAGTGCAATAACGAAAGGAAACCGGCAGGTCACGACCCTCCAAGCGCTGTTTTTCCTCCTCAGGGCAGAGGAAGAATTCTCAAGACCCGAGAGGTGCAGATTCAGGGTGCCCCTCTGAGAGACCTGGGGAGTCAGCAGCTGTTCCTGGTCCCTTCCCCGCCAACTGCCGGTGCCGGTTCAGAGCAGCCCTCGGACCCACCGGCTCCTGGAACGGCCGCTGACCTACCCCACAGGGACAGCTCAGGAAAGCGAGAGCACTCTCTGCTTTCCCCTCTCTGTGGAAAAACCCATCTGCCTTTGAGGGAGAGACTGAAGGAGGAGGCACGTGCCCCAGACCGGCCTCTTTCATCCCAGAAAAGAGGCATCGAGGGTCAGGTCTCTCATTGGGTCTCGCTTTTTCTTTTTTTTAAACCCTCCGCTAGTGCACAGCAAGGCGGAGTCGCCTCCTGCCCGGGGCACAGACTGTCCTCCTACAGAGCCAAACTCCTCCCACGCTGGGCAGCTCTCCCTCCTGCCCCCATCCTTACAGGCAAGTACAGTTTAAGGTCCAGCCAACCCTCCTGGAGACAGTTACTGAAGTCAAAAAGGCAGAACAAGAGTAGAAAACAAAACAAAAGCAACCCCCCCTCTGGAGAAAGGCTCAGACTGTGTCCAGCCAGGTATTTCCTAGAACCGTCCTATGAAAATAAAAAAATCATTAAAAAGAGATTCTCTTAAATTAGGATAATACCACTGTTTAAAAAGCCTCGTCATAAGTGCTTTCCCCTATGAAGTGCTTCTCATAGAAAAATATACAAAATATATTTACATTTATAAAACCTTAAATACTAAACTGTAAACAGAACAGAGCAGAATCCAATGTCGTCGCTGTCAGGGGCTCTCACTTCTCTCTCAGGTTTTGCTCTCAGGCGCAGGGCAGACCCCGTGGGGAGGAGGGCTCACGCCGCTCCAACCAGGATGGTGGTGTCCCTAGACTCATCCAGACCCCGCTTGGTTCCTGAGCCACCACCTCACATGTTTCCTATGGGTTTTGGGATGCTGTACGGACAAGGCTGGCTGGTGCTTGGCCTTGTCTTTGCAGAGAACTTTGGCTCCATTTTGGTGCCCCTCCCGTGCCTTTCGTGGAACACGTGACTACACCCAGACCACAAACCACGACAGGCACGTGCCCAGGGTCACTCCTCTGCCTGCCCCCCTGGCCCTGGGACAGTGTGGCATGGCAGAGCAGAGCAGGTGCCCCCACACCATTCCTTCCTAGCTCCTGCCCTACAGTGGTGTGTGGCTGAGTCCAGGGCCACCTTACACCACCCCTCTCTCCTTAAAGACTTCTGTCCAATCCCTTGGACCAGCTCCATGGTGACCAAGACACTGCTGGCTGGCAATGCCAGGAGCTTGCTGAGCAGAGGAGGATGCCAGCTGCTGGAGACAAGATCCAGAGAGGAGCACTTCCCTCCCACACAACCAGGGAGGGAAGTGTTGAAGTGGGAGCCTTTGCTGGCAAAGATTTACAGCACCCCAACTGTTGGCACAAGCCCTCTCTGCCAAAGAATGCCAGGAGTTCCCCTGCTCTCAGGCAGGGATTTCAGAGCAAAGTGCCAGCCAAACTCCCTTCTGTCTAGTTGGGGGCTGCTCTGTTCTGCTCTCCTTGTGAAGGCAGCTGAGCCAGCCCGCTGTGCCGCAGAGCCCTGCGCAGGCAGGGCAGCCTCCTGCTCACAGATAGTGTTTTGCAGACACGCAGTCCCCAGGGGGAGAACTGTTGGCAAGACACAGCCCCTCTTCCCAGGAGAAAAGCTCACTCAAACTCTGTGCTACCCAACCGCTGACTCAGCCCTCAGAGGAGAGCTCTGAGCCAGGACATAAAAAGGGACAGGACCCACGGCTGCTGCCCTGCGCCTGCTGGGCTGACCTCCCCTCCCCTCTCCCACTCATTAGCCCCATGCTGAGAAACAAATATGGGGGCAGGGGGAAATGAGAATAGCAAAAACATAACCACGCTGAGGATCTTCTCCAGCCGCCCCGTGTCTCTCACAAGGGTGAGTGTGCACATGCGAGACATGAAGATGTGGACTCGGACAAACACAGCCGCCAGTCAGGTCCCTGAGCCCAGCCCATCTTCACTCCTGCTTCCAGCCTCTCCATCCTGTCCAAGCAGCTGGAGAGGGGCTCACTCGAAGCTTTGGTTCGCCCCAGGCCCTCCAGGGCTCACTTGCAGCTGATGGAAGTTCTAGTTTAAAAACTTCCTGCACTTCTTGGCGCCGCAGTTACAGGGCAGTTTGTTGCTGGCGTCTTCAATGGGGAACTTGTAGTCGTAGGTGAGCTCTTCCCCTCGGTAGATTTTGCGCATGGCGAAGATGACAATGTGTTTCTGGCCATCGATGTTGATGACCCGGGAGTAGCAGTTGGGCTCACAGGAGTGGTTGATGAAGCGGGCCGCGTTGCCGTGCATGGTGGCATCCACCACTTCAGAGTCGTCAATGCGGAACATGTAGCACCCGATGCCCTGCACGGGGAGGACAGAGAAGGGTCAGCGCGGGCAGGGCAGGCACAGCCACCCCAGCAGACAGCCCAGCTCCGAAGCTGAGCCTGTGTGTGTGTCTGCAGCCTCTCTCCACTGGGCCCCGTGGGCTCCCACCTGAATCATTTCATTCCCGCACTCACTGAGACTGGCCCGAGACCCCGCCCAGCCCACAGGAGAGAATCAGAAGTGCCTCTAAAGCTCCAGCAAGAATGGAAATATCCCAGGTAGTCTGTAAACCCAATCTGTGATGTTCCAAACACAGTTTTCATATAGGCCTGTCCTACCTTCACAGCCACTTTCTAGTTCTCCCAAATTCTTTAAGAAGGTCTACAAAAGCCCAAAACTCACCTTACTGTCGTAGTATTTCTCTCGTTTGTCAGTGAGGATGGAGCGAATGACATTGCCTGAATATTCGATCACCATCTCACCTGCATCGATGTTCCTTTTGCAGAACAGACCCCGGCCATGGATGGGAGACCTAAAATGCAACAAGAAAAGTGA